GTTCCTTGTCAAAGATCAGCTGACCATAGGTCAGTGGATCTATTTCTGGGTTCTCAATTCTATTTCACTGGTCTATGTGTCTGTCATTGTACCAACACCAGGCAGTTTTGACTACTGTGGCTGTATAGTAGGTTTTGAGATTCAGGCTTTCGAATCTTAAGGCAAAATTAAGAAGGAAGGAAAGGGCAGGAAAACTGGGCAAACAGAAATGGGGGGTCCAAGGGGGAATGGGAGAGTGCTGACACATTGTAGGGATTACAACCAATGTCATGGAACAATCTGTGTATAAATTGCTGAATGGGAAACTAATTTGCTCTGTAAACTTTCACCTATACCACAAAACAAATGTTTTTTAAAAAAGGAATTTTAAGGCTGTTTCCTTCTGACCTTTATGATCCCAAAGGAATCTGAAAAACTACAGATTAGATTCTTTCCTTTCTGAATACTTTGGCCACATCCAAAAGTAGGAAGTTCATTGTTAATGGATGAAAACTAGGAACACAAAATCACATCTGATTGGTCGTGACTCTTGCAGGGCAGGATGCCAATGCACTTTCATTAAGTAAGCTGAGTTGGTCCCATTACATGTAGTGTTCAGATACATTTGGCATCATCAAAAGAAAATGAGAATGGAGGAGGGAGTCTAAAAGCTTAGGCTACACTGGAAGGAAAAAGTAGACATTCGCACTAGTTTCACTTTTTAAATTTTTGTGCCTATAGAGGCTTTCCTTAAGAAAATAACAAAGCTTATTACATTTTTATCTGCCCATTAAGCAAATGCTAGTAAGTTTAGGAAGCCAATAAAAGATCACACATTTAATGCTGAGCTTTGAATGTCCCCCATCTTCTAGACTTGTGCTTGAAGTCATTACAGACGGTTTTCTACCATTTTATTATTTGAAAAATAATGTGTGTTTGAGCCTAAGACCAAGAAACACAGCTTTATACTGTAGAAAGCCAACTAGACCAATAGGGATGAACTTCACCATCTTGCCTTTAATTTTGCTCAAATTAACTGTAAATGAAATTAACTTTTACCCAAAAGAATCTGTTAAATGATCCTTGCTAAAAGAGAGTATTACCATCACTCTCATATAAATATAAAATGACAACATATCAAAGATTTTTACTTAACTCAGTTACTTAGAGATCCAGTAAGATGCTACAACTGATTCAAAGGAAAATTCAAATAACTGCAAATATAGAAATGCTGAGATGAATTTATAAGTAACTGCAAAACACTGAAGGGATGAGAATCAACTGTATTTTCACCTGTCTAAATTTGTTTGTATGTATATGGACAAGAATCATTCAGAATGCTATCAATTATCTACAATTTAGAGAGTTGTAAAGTATTTTAAAGATAATGAAAGTTGCCGAGACCCATAGAATCACGCAACCTGGAAAAGTATGTTTAGTCAGCACCTAGTTTTCCATTGAAGACATCCAGTCATCTTTTGGGACCATTTCCAAATCTTCATAAACTCTCTAATGCTTTAAAAATTCAAAATCATTATTCCTAAGTAAACAGCATTTCTTGAATGCTCACCAGTTATTATACCTTCAGTTTTGCATTTCTGTAGGCTTTGAGTATAAAGTATCTTATGGTCAAATCTCCATATGGGTAATTTTTCATAGGAAGAATAGGCTATGAATATTAAGCAGTGTGGTACTTAGAAGCCCCTGTAAATGTAAGAAATGATTAAAAGTGACTTAAGGAATATTTCAAGTCACTGTTAAATTGCATTTAAATATATATATGCACACACGCACACACGTGTGTGTGTGTATATGTATATGCATACGTATACACATACTCTTCATTAGGAACCCTGTGTGTGTGTGTATATGTATATGCATACGTATACACATACTCTTCATTAGGAACCCTGTGTGTGTGTGTATATGTATATGCATACGTATACACATACTCTTCATTAGGAACCCTGGTGGGGCAAGTGATTAAGTGTTTGACTGATAACCAAGAGGTCAGTGATGTGACTCCAACTGTAGCTCCATAGGAGAAAAATGTTAACAGTCTGCCCCAAAAAAGTTTTACAGCTTTAGAAACCCTATGGAGTAGTTCTACTCTATCTTAGAGAGTCATGATAAGTCAGAATCAACTTGACAGCAATGGGTTTACTCCCCAGTCATCAACTATTCCATTATTTCACATTTCACATTTAAGACAATAGTGAAAAATCTACTATCTGACTATTTTGCACATTATGTATGTCTGGCTGTGATAAACACCAAGATGTGAGGCGAGAGTAACACTGGCTGTGAAGGTTAAAGTTATGTGTCCACTTGGCTGGGCCATGATTCTCAGTGGTTTGGTAATTATGTACTGATGTGATTCAGCAGTCCTGTAATGATGTAGTCATCCTGCATTTGCATGTGACACCAATTTTTATATAACAACTGATCTTTGGAACCCAACCATGTCAGTAAGTGAGGAGTGGGTATATATCCCTGGCACCTCAGTAGGCAAACTCCTGATAACTCTTCAGTATAAGGAGAATATCTGAGTTAATTTTACTTCTACAGTAAAGAGAAAACCTAGGATCAGATTTAGTGATAATATCATCTATATTTGAATGATTTCAAATTCAAAGGGGGAAAAATAATTATAATAGAGAAGCTTCATTATATCTTGTTATTTTAATGGTGATGAAAATGAGTTAAAACAGATGACTGTTTTCCTGTAGGAAACAGCTTGGTAACACTGCTGTGCCACCTCTTCAACACCCATGGGCTCATTCACCACTTCAAGTTAGATATGGTGACCTTACACAGGTTTTTAGGTAAGTTCTTTCTTCTGTATCCTTCCCACCTTCCATGAATAATGCCAGTCCATGATATAATGTAAAGGGGCAGGAACCATAGCATGGTGGATGAAGACCTCAAATTCATCTTAAATTATGTCATTTTAATTTTAAAACATGACTTTCTCATCTTAAATCATTAAAAATGTGGTTAATTGTTTACAGTAGAGAAAAGCTATGTAAAAGAAAAATATCAGGAGCATGTAAGAAGCCCCATATGAAACAAATTCCCAGCAGGATGTGCCTCAAATCATTCTCTTCTGAACATGAGTTGTTGAATATCTTCAATAAACTTTTATTTTTATTGAATAAAATAGTTTTGTTTTTTGGTTGTTTGGTTTCTTTCAAGCTGTTCCAACAACCTTCAAGTTGACCATTTTATCACTATTTGCTCCACAGTTAAGGAAAGGTACAAAGACGTTTTATAACATTCCCAAGGTCATACAGCTACTAAGTGACAAAGACTCACTTACAGCTCAGGTCTGACTTGAAAGGCCGCCATCCTTCCACTCCATTCCACTGTCACTCTTTTATTCAATGGCAGTACCATTCTTATTTGACTTTCTTATTCATCTGCCAGGGAATGATCCAGGGCACATTTTCAATTACTGAATGGCTTCCCTCTGCCATATTTTTGGCTTCTTCAACTTGCCACATGGCTGTGCTTTGAATTTGGAAGCTCACTTAATGCCATCATGAGGAAAATAGCAGTGATGATGATAACAACTGCACCAACAACCGGGCTTGTATGGTACTGACAAATGCCAGGAACTCCTCTGAGGACTTATGTAGATGAGCACATTCAAGCCTTACAGCAACCCTATGAGTCTGAAGCTATTATTATCTCCATTTTATAGGGAAGGATACTGAGGAAACTTGCTTAAGTCATTTGCCCAATACACATAAGTGAAAAGCCAGGAGTTAAAGATAATTGTAGAATTGACCTGCTGAATAAAAGGGATATGAGGCACAATAGAAATACTCTAAACTAACCACAGCATGACTTGTTTCCAGAGATACAAATAGCCTCTAGCTAATTGTATTTAGATTGAGTAGAGTGATGACCACAAACAAGACTACCTAAAGAGAAAGAGCAGTCCCTGGAAAGTTCAAACAGTTAATGCACTTGGCTGCTAACAGAAAGGTTAGAGGTTTGAGTCCACCCAGAGGCACTTTGGAAAAAAGCCCTGATGATCTACTTCCAAAATATCAGCTATTGAAAATCCGGGGGGGGGGGGGCACAGTTCCACTGTGACATCCATAAATCAGGGTTGCAATGAATAAGTCAGGGTCGACGCCACAGCAAGTCGTAAAGAAAGAGAACACAGATACTTGGACACGTGTGTACCCAGACAATGTGGAGAGAATGCAAAAATTTAGTAAACAAAATTAACACCAGAATCCAGAGCCAACTGCATAGCCAATATGACCCCAATTACAAACCTGAGCATTATAAAAAAAAAAAAAATCTCACTGCCATCAAGTCAGATCCAACTCATAGCGACTCCTTCTTGGGTTTCCAAGGCAACATCACTACAGAAGTAGACTGTTCAACCTTCCTTCCAAGGAGTGGCTGGTGGGTTTGAACTGCCAGCCTTCTGATTAGCAGTCAAAAGCCTTAGGCACTATGCCACCAGAGCTCCCAGGCATTATAGACACGCTGATTAATTGCATCTTAAGCACTGCTCTCATTACTAGTGCCTAGTGGCTTCTGTAGGAGCTCTGGTAACATAGTGCCTACAACACTTGACTGCTAACCAGAAGGCCTGCGGTTCAAACCCACCAGCCACTCCTCGGAAGGAAGGCTGGGCAATCTACTTCCGTAGTGATACTGCCTTGGCAACCCAAGGAGGGGTCACTATGAGTCAGGGCCAACTCGACAGCACATAACAACAAACAACAACAGTGGCTTCTGTAAATAGCTAACCAAAGTTGCTTTTACTATATCTCCACTTAGTTCCAACAGCAGTCTTTGCCTTGAAGGGACATAAAAGATGGTACCTTAACCTGAAAATGGTAGAAACAATCCCAAAACTCCCCAGCTGGATCACTTTGAATTCCTGCCTGAAGAAGCCTCAGATTTATTTTGATCAGTATTTGTTAATCCAATACTAATCAAAGCACTGATTTGTTAAACCAATCTTTGAATACCTAGTCTGATGCTGCTGGGGCTCATTGAAAGGAAACCTTCTTTATGGCATATTATTCATAAATGGCAGCAAACTTAAATAATTAACCTATAGTGTGAAATAAAGTTCTCCTTTTTCTACATATTTGTTTTTCCTCTGAATGTGAGCCTTCATGAACGCCAAAAAGGGTGATTGATGAAGGGAATGAGGAATCCCAGGTGCCTCCCAAATCCTTTTAGTCTTTCTTCCCTCTGCTCTCTCCTCCTCTCCACTAAAAACAGCCCAGGAGAACTGCCAAGCTTACAAGCCACACTCTTTTTTAAAGGGTCTCCAGGCTACATATTTGGGAGTCACTGCTATTTTTAAGCAAAAAGCACTCTCAATAAGCCTGAACTAGTAAGCCCTTCAATTTTGGGGTTTTGGTAATTGAGTTATCTGTTTACCTTCTAGTCATGGTTCAAGAAGATTACCACAGCCAAAACCCATATCACAATGCTGTTCATGCAGCCGACGTCACCCAGGCCATGCACTGCTACCTGAAGGAGCCAAAGGTAAGGCAAGGCCCAGTTGCCTCCCAGCCATCTGGAAGTGCCAAGGAAACTACCTTTTGGCCCCCTATATCACCCATCATATCAGAGTAACATTGTTATGGGTCATTCACAATATCAATACAAATGATTTGTATTTAAGTTCCAGTATCAGCTCTAAAAACTGTATGATACTCATGAAAGAGGATGTGACTCTTCTCAGGTTTCCTTTCATATTTTTTCACATTTTCAAGACTGTGTAGGGACAATAACAACCCTCTCTGTGCCAATCTCCATCTTAGATATCTTCAACAGTCCCAAGAACTAGCTGTGTTGCCTTAGACCTTTGCCATAAACAGCACGGGCACTGAATCTTACTGGAAAAAAATCTCCCACCTCCTTATTTTTATCTCCAAATCAAATCAATATACAAGCTCCACTTACTACTGAGCCAACTGGACATCCTAATTCAGGGCCAGGAAAATTGTGAACCTCAAAGACCTCATGGCAGGCACACTCTGATGCAATCAACCAGCCCCATATTAAGAAGTAAAAGCAGAATAAGAAAGCTCATCACTCAAAATCCAGGCAGTACTTAGCTGTTCAAACCTGATTAGTGTAACATACAGGATGAGCTTTTTGTTTGTTTGTTTCTAACTGATTGATTGATTTTTTTATTTTTGCAGTGTTCCCTCCCCTGCACTCCTACCCCTGATAACCAACAAAGAAAGTTTCCTTCCATATATAAACCTTTCCAGACAGGATCACAGTTTTACAAAGGTTTTTGAAAAATGACATTCTCAGTCCAAGATTATTTAGTTCAAACAATTCTAATATCAACCACTGAATACACAGATGGCACACAGGCTTTCCCAGGACAGGGCAGGGTAGATGCTTCATCCCTATAAAATATCCTAATGGTATATTTTAACCTCTAAGTTATCTGAACCTTGTAATATATCGCAGAGTCATGTTCTAAATTAGCACTTTTTCCCTGCTTGTTTACCTAGCCAACCAAAAATCAGATTTTCATATACCCCCCCACACACACTACTAATTACACATTGAAGAAACAGGAAGATTTTGCAATGCGGTCCACTCTGATTTCCTATTTAAAGAAGTAGAAATAATATACTGGATTGTTGAAATCCATAAATATTTTTTTTTTTAATATGCCCATCACTTAAAGATGGTGGAACAGTGGTTAAGTGCTCGGCAACTAACCATAAGGTCAGTGGGTTAAACCTAGCAGCCACTCCTTGGGAGAAAGATATGGCAGTCTGCTTCTGTAAAGATTACAGCCTTAGAAACCTGATGGGGCAGTTCTATTCTGTCCAGAGGGCCTCTGTGAGTTGGAATGAATGATTCCATCTCTTTGGCTCCAACTTTTCCTTTATTTTCAGCTTCCTGTCGGAGCAAAACTGATTTCAGACTCTGTCTTCTCCCTGCTCACCATCTAGTAGGGTTGCCAACAAGCAATGCCCTTAGAGCAACAAAATAAAATAGAGTGGCAGTAGGAGGAGAAGGATACCTAAATGACCCACACCACTTGCACTTACTATACTTTCCACAGTCTTTTCTTTTTTTTCTTTTAATTCCATGTGACTATCACCTTACCGAATGTCTCAAAGGGTAAAAGTCTGGCTGGTGGCCCTGAACAATGCCACGATGATTCATTTGGTCTGATTTAGCCAAAATGAATGCTGACCTATTTGTGGAAACACACCAGTCACTCTCCCATTCTGACTTTTCATAGCTCGCCAGCTTCCTCACGCCTCTGGACATCATGCTTGGACTGCTGGCTGCAGCAGCACACGATGTTGACCACCCTGGAGTGAACCAGCCATTTTTGATCAAAACTAACCACCACCTTGCCAACCTCTATCAGGTAAGGAAGCCAGCACAAGGCCAGAGTACAGTAAATGGCCATGGGCCTAGTGCTTACACCTGAATGTTGCCTTTGGGGTGCGCTTTCTTTCAGATTCAGCTTCAGTAATGGGAACCACATTCCAAGAGCACAGATTGGAAATTGGCCCAGGATATCCCCCAAAGGAGATCAAGTTGGCTGAGTGGGATACCCTAGGAATTTGGTTTGCTCCAAAGCAAACTTGAAATTGTCCAAGGTCAAACCAGATCCCTGATCCTACTCTTTCATGACCTAAGAATACCTGTTTCCATGAAAGCTATCTTGCATATAATGACCAGTCGAACCCAGCCCTTGCAGGGTTTCTACAGATCTATATTTCCCAGGTGCAGTCTTAATTCAGACATGTCTTTGGGCCATTTCTGACCTGTATTGGCTTTTGTGTCAGAGTCATGTTATCAAAACAATTGGCATACTTTGTTGTTATAAAATAGGTCAACAGCATGAGTAGGATGGCATGAAGAATTCTTATTTATAATATAGTTTCCAATATTAAACCCTATATCATATATGAATGATTCACAGAATTTTCAATGTGGTTCTTTGAAGACCTTCAATTGTCATTAACAAAACCATTTTATACAAAACCCAAACCCATTGCTGTCAACTCAATTCCAACTCATAGCAACCCTGTAGGACAGAGTAGAACTGCCCCACAGGGTTCCTAAGGCTGTAAAGCTTTTAGAGACGCAAACTGCCACATCTTTCTCCTGCATAGCAGCTGATATGTTTCAAACCACCAATCTTTCCACTAGCAGCCAAGCACTTGGCCTCTGCACCACCAGGGCACCCCCATTTCACATAAGAGGTCACTATTCTCAATCTTAGTCGATCTTTTGAGGAAATTGAGTGCTGAAAAAAAATTCCTGATGGAACCTTATAAAACAACTGCATTTTACAAGATCTTGCAATTCAAGAAAAGCCTTTCCCCATCCAAGTGATTAGCTTTTTTGGCACAGATGGGAACTGGTATTCCAATGTGTATGTGTCCACCTGGTGTATGTTCAGCACCAGGCTCCCTGGGACTGTCAGCCAGTACCTGGAGCTAGGAGAGACAAGGCCACGTGGAGGAAACGGATGACAGAACGAAGAAAACCTTTCGATGAAGAGCTAAAATTTAAACAGAAAAATCAAAGCTAAAACTAAATTTTCTAAGCCATTTCAGAAGCAAAATTTATTGCTTAAGAAAATCATGGTCATTTGACTGGGGGGATAGAAATGACTGTCCTGAGAATCTTTAAGTCTATTTTCTATTCCTGTCAATTCTGAACTTTTCAAATGTTTTATTAGACAAAGGAAATCAATTAACAAGTTCGGATAATTAATTCATTCTTATATAATGTATTTGCACAATTCTAATTGCTCATCATCAAATCAATCATATCAGTGGAGTTTTAAAGACTATTTCTGCAAACTGATTTGTACATAAAAATGAGGGTCATAAAAACATACTTTGGCAAGTATTATATAAACAATAGGTCATAAGTTCTCATTTATATAGGAAGTCAGAAAGAAATATTTCAGATGCTAAAAATATAAAACCCACCAGCCACTTGTCAGAAGGAAGGTTGGGCAATCTACTTCTGTAGTGATACCACCTCAGAAACCCAAGGAGGGGTCGCTATGAGTTGGGTCCAACTTGATGGCACATAACAACAACAAATATATAAAAACAAGAAAATAAGTGTAGAATTCAATTAATAGTGAAGAATTAAGTACTCACTGCTAATTAACAAAAATTGACTCTCAAAAGATACTCTAATCTATAAAATATCGAAGATTTTCTCAAAAAGGGGGGGGGCAGGGCTTCCTTACACAAATTTTTGAAGTACGGATAATTTTTTACAATTTTTCTTTTAATCTATTTATTAAAAATAGATATTCCAATACAACTAAATTCTACAATCTTTTCAATGCAACATATAGGTAGTCTTGCATATTTAAGGTCTAAAAGTACAAAGATGAATAAGACACAATCTCTGCCCTCCAATATTTGTTCAAACACAGATGATCAAAATCAGACAGACACATACACATAGAGATACAATGTTAAATTCACATATATGTGTGTTTGAGTGTGTATGTGTGTGTGTGTATTTTTGAAGAGTAAATAACTGTGCAATTCTTTATATCCCAAGATGTTACTACAATAAAGTGAGCTATTGTTTCTCAGCGAACTTCTCCACCTGAAACATCTGGCCTGATTACTGGCAAGAAGGAGAGGGATTCTTTTGATGATGGCTAGGGAGAAATTGGGAGCTCTGGTGGCATAGTGCCTAAGGCGTTTGACTGCTAACCAGAAGGCTGGCGGTTCAAACCCACCAGCCACTCCTCGGAAGGAAGGTTGGGCAATCCTACTTCCTAGTGATACTGCTCAGAAACCCAAGGAGGGGTCGCTATGAGTCGATAACAACAACATAACAATGCACCCGTAGTGCCTAAGGCACTTGACTGCTAACCAGAAGGCTGGCGGTTCAAGCCCACCAGCCATTCCTCGGAAGGAAGGTTGGGCAATCTACTTCCATAGTGATACCACCTCAGAAATCCAAGGAGGGCTCACTATGAGTCAGATCCAACTTGACGGTAGTGAGTTGTGGGAGAAATTGGGACCTAGAGATCAAAAACCACATTCAAGGTGCTATCTTCATCCATCCTCTGCTGAACTGGTCTTACAGTTTATAAGAGGATAGTAATTCATGTCTTCAATTTTAAGAACCATGTCAAAGGCATAGTATCATAAAGCAGCTTTCCCTATCCTAGAGCAGCTAGGATAAAAACTGAAACTTTTATCAGCCAGATTAGAACTTTACTTATTAAAAGTAAACATTGTAACAAGGACTTGAAAATAATGAGATTTACTTCCATTTTGTTTAAAAAAAAAAAAAAGTTGACAATGCCTTTATACTTTGTTATATGTCATTCTTTATTAAGGCTGGCGGTTCAAACCCACCAGCCACTCCTCGGAAGAAAGGTTGGGCAATCTACTTCCGTAGTGACAACACCTCAGAAAACCAAGGAGGGGTCGCTATGAGTCGGGCCGACGGCACATAATAACAACTATTAACTATATGAAAGAGCCCTAAATGATAAAGAATTCTCATAAAATGTAGTCCAATAAATTATAAAACAAATGTTTATTCAGCACTTAAACCTGTTGCTTTGGTGTTGACTCTGACTCGCAACCTCTGACTGCCCTCTATCAGGTTTTCAATGGCTGAGTTTTCAGAAGTACATCTCCAGGACTTTCTTCTGAGGCACCTGAGGGTGGACTCAAACCCCAACTTTCTGTTTAGCAGCCAAGAGCATGAACTGTTTATACCACCCAGGGGCTCAACACTTACTAGGATCGAACCCTGTGCTACATTGTTTTTATGTATTACTTTTTCTTTATGATAGCCCAGTGAAATGGGCAATGTTATCACACATAATTTCCAGAGGGCAGAAAATTGATACTTGGGAATTCAAGTGGATTCCCTGAAAGCAAACATGTAATTAATGGCAGACCTGGGATTAGAACTCAAGTCGTTTGCCTTCAGAGCCAGAGTGCCTAAGCACTATACATACTGCCTCTAAGACTAGTACTGATGATCTACCATCTGCAAAGAACCAAGGCCCCTCCTAGAGATCCTCCTGTTCTAGGGAGGAAGAGATGAGGATTACACCCACATGACTTAGAGTGGGAGAGACTTTGATAAGCACGCTACAGTATACAGCTACAAACAAAATATGATGGAGGCCAGAAGAAGAGAAATTGATTCTACATGTGGTTTCTGAACAAAACCTCCTGGAGGAAGAATGGGCCTTGAAGTGTGAGTAGCATTTTGAATAGCAGAGACCAAAGGGGAGCATTAGGGGCAGCATGAGCTGCTGGAACTTTTGTGACTAAAATCTGTTTTCACTTGTTAGCTCAGAATAACTGAAAAATGGAATCCTTACAGCCTTGGGCTCAGCATAGTCCTGACATCCACAGTCTCTGCTCTCAAATAAGTGTCCCGGGCAGATTAAGATTAAGTGTATGTTCTTCTACAGAAATCGCAGAGAAACGAGCCAGGACATGACCTGGGTTAGAAAATCTTCACTCTGCCTTAAGTTGTAGATGAAGAAGTGGCCTAACCCTTCAGGTTTTCAATTTCAAGAAAGAAAATATCATGTAGCATAATATATAAACTGAAGACCACTCACAGCACATGATACTTTTAAATCATTAGAAATGTGACCTTTTAGCCTACCAAGAGACTGTTGCTTGAAACATGAGTGGGCTTTCAGAAAGCCACATGCAAAGTTTCAGATGTGCCTATGCAATTTTTTCTGAGGAAAGGATTCATGACTTACTTTTATCAGATTTTAAAGGAGATGATAGATTCAGAAAACGTTAAGAATCATGGTGTTGCATGAAATAAGAAAACATATAAACACAAAATACATTCACACACACATTTGGTCAACATTCATACTGTAGAAAGATGTGCCAGAAATAAGTGGCTTTGTGAACACCCTGTGCGTGACTTTTCTACAATCCAGACTTACTATAAATGAGATAAAATGGAAGAGGGCTTCCTCTCTCTCCTTTTGTTAGCTGTGCTCTTTCAGTCCTAATAAGAAGATCACTGCATAACGCCCAGCCTGTGCTTTGGCCCTGAGATAAAGAGAAAGCCAGAGTAGCTGGAGTGAAGGCCAGGTCAGAGGGTGCCCTCCCACTGTCTGTTGTATGGGCTGCATTCTCACTTGAACTGCCAACCAAGTTCAACGTGAAGGCGTTGAAGGCCCTTCCACCTGGCACCTCTCTCATCAGACTGGAAACAGTCCAGGGATCTGGCAGTGGAATGAGAGGGAAAGGAACGTGTAAGAGATAGAATCAAGAATTTTTATTGTCTTCCACTCTCTGACATCCCCACCCACCCACCCACACACAAATTCAAAGGTGGGATCAGTAACTGGGCAAAGTAAGCTTTAAATCAGATGCA